TTCAGCCTGCTCCTTCCTGGGGCCTTCTCCCCGTTGACACACACCTACTGCACCTCACAACACATCATTCTGGTGTTCCTTCCTCCCAGGAAGGCCACAGCCCCTAACTCTCCTCGCTCCTCCCTGTGAGGTACACCTATCAAGTGCTTCCTCTGCTTGCTAGGCAGCAGGTATGGCTCCAACACTCAGGACCAGTCGAGGCCACCTTCTCAGGGACAGCCTCTGCCCACTGCATGGACTGCCTTGACTCTCATCTATTCCTCTGCTCTGGCAACTAGAGTCAGACATGCAGTAGTCCTTTCCCCTACTGGACGAGCCGCCTCAGAGAGCCAGAATGAGTCACCTTGTTTGTTAATAGTAGTGGCCCTTCCTGGCACAGGGAAAGGCTGTTCAGATGGCAGCCACTGATTTTTACGTAGGGTCACTGTAACTGACACACTCTCTCCTGCGTGACTCGAGTCAGACCAAACTTGGAAGCAGAGCTGGTCTGGAGCATGTGCCCAGTGGAACCTACTGTCTGCAGAGACAGCCATCAGTTCCCTGAGTGAACTCCCTCTCCAGCCTCAGTCTCCACAATACTCACACCAGCAGGGTAAGATCTAAAGCTCTTATCTCCACGTCCAACCCATTCTCAAAACAGTATCACCTACTTGACGTCAAGCTGTCCCTGTTGCCCTGCCCCCTCTGGCATGGAGGTTAGGTTCTGCCCTCACTTCCACGACCTACTTTATCACTATCAAACACAGCCAGCTCTCCAATGTCCTGGTCAGCCAACCAAGGATGCAGACATCAGGAAGATTGGGTGTGCTGGGACACACAGAAGTCTTCCCTACCACTACAGGACAACAAGCAATAGCAGAACATGTGCCTTGCACCAGGCATAAGGAGCCTAGAGACAACTTAGAAGTCTCTGGGAAAGTGTGCACGGGACCTATGCACACACCAAGCTGCTGTACGAGAGGGACTCAAACACCCCTGGATTTGATTATCTGCACAACTGTACAAAAGTAAGAGGGAAAATGTATGTCCTATTTATGAAAAGTTGGAACCACACAGAAGAATCAGAACCTCAGAGCCCAGGTTTCCCCGATATAGTGCAGAGAAGGGAAAGGATAGCCCAACAGCCTGTCATGGGAGACCTCGAGACACTGCACAGATGACCCACCCACCCTTGATCTTGTGGCACAGGCAGAGAGAACAGGCAGCTCTAGGGAAGGGGCCGCTGCGCCTCTGGTGTCCTCCCACCTATTGAATCAGAGAGTAAAGAGTTAGGAAAGGTGAGGAAGGGGACAGGAGAGTGGCAGCCACCACCTTCAAAGCACAGTTCCAACCCCATGCCAGGTGCCACAGACGGCTCTACTCTCCCCTCCCACAGGGCAGACACCCAGCGCTGCCAGGCAAGGGCTGTAGCAGCGGGATGGACCAGACAGTTCCAGGTCTACACACGTTTCTATTTTATTATGGCAAAGGTGAAAAACGTCACCTTCTCCACAACAGCAACCAGTAAAATTTATCCCAAAAATAACTTGGTACAAAACAGGTCTGTTTCAGAATTAAAAAAAAAGAAAGAAAGAAAGAAAGAAAAAACCTTTACATGAGTTTTTAAATCCTATTTTAAAACATAAAAGAAACAAATCCGTCATTGGCTGCACAGCCCAGCACCCCCTCCCACCAGGGAGCAGGGACGAGACGTCCGGGTCCTGTTCCACACACGGTTTGCCCGGCTGTTTAACTGGTGTCCATCTGAAACAGAGGGAGGAGGTTCACTCAGGAGGCCCTGGCCTCGGCCCATTCCTAGCTTTGCTAGCCCCAAAGGACCCACTCCCCCACTGTGGCCTTGGTGGCCTGCCGGGACTCACCCTTGCATTATAGGCGTCCAGCTGCGCGTCCAGCTCCTCCGCAGAGAGCTGCTGCTTTGAATTCCTGCCGGTACCTCTGCCTCTTCCCCGGCTACCTCCACGGGTCCCTCTCCTGGTGCCACCACCACCAAAGCCTCCAGAGCCACGGTTTCTAGTCATACCACCTCTGTTTATGCTGGCGAGGAAAAGAGAGCTCAATGACCGAGCTGGAAAGCCTTGAGGGGAACATGACCACACAACAAAGCTGATCTCCACAGACCCCAGAGACCATGGAACTCACCTCTGTACAGGTCTCCGCTGTGTGTCAATCTGTGATGTGACAAGCTGGATGTTCATGGGGCGGCCTGTGGCAAAGAACATAAGAAGGCTCACTCCAGAGGCTCTGAAGCCAGCCCAGGGGGCACCATACCCTGGTCTCCATGCAAGCTCTGGAAAGGGCCTTTGTGCGTCTCCAATGCCCCCAACAAGGGAAATGGCCTGGAGAGTCTGGTGGGAGAACAACAAATGGCAACAACAACAACCCCACCAACACCTCCTCACTCCTTCTCAGTCCAGGCTAGGTGGGCTGTTTGCTCAGATGTCCAGGGTGCTCATGGGTGGACAGGTGTGGGTGACCTGACGGAAGAAGAACAGGTACCTTTGTCTTTACGACTACAGCCCCGCACTCAGTTGTACTATGGCGGTTCTGAGAAGGCTTCACAGAAGTGAATCTTCCGGAAGGAGCTGAAGGAGGGGAGGGATGTAGCTTGCTGGATGGGGGTTCACAAGAGGTTGGTCCAGATGTGTGGGGCAGCATGAGAGGTGGCAGAATGGAAGAGAGAGACAAAGGGGCAAATGCAAAGTGTCCTCAGCCAGAGGGGCAACCCATATTCCTACAGGGACAGGTGCCAGCCCCAAACTCCACGAGCCCCACAGGCATCCTGGGCCCAGCCCCAGACTCACCATCCAAAGGGACACCGTTGTACTGTTTCATAGCCTTCAGGGCATCTGCTTTCCGTTCAAAGTGCACATCTGCTGTCCCTAAACTGCGGCCAGAGCGATCATAGTGCACAGCCGCCTTCTTCAGCGTTCCAAATTCAGCAAAGAGTTCCTAAGAGTCAGAAAGAGCATGTGTTGACAAGGCAGCTACACTGTGTTCCTCTACTGGCCCAGGGTCAGTCCCTGCAAGTATGAATGCTTGGGGTACATCCCTGGCAGCCATCTACAAAGAGGATGGGGCAGAGGTAACAGAAATTGAGGGAAGGGATGGGCTAGGAGAAACAGCAACTTTTAAGAGCACCTGAGTCAGGAAATCTCCTGCCCATCTGGGGACCTGACATTTGTACCACCATGCAGATAAAGCAAGTTGCAACGCTCCCTGGTACAAGGATTAAGGCACTCTCTTTTCTCGACAATGGAAAACTTAAAATACACTCAAGGGCTGTTTCACAAAACAGAAAAGGCCAAGAGCAAGGGAAGCTGTCCAATAGACCAGGCCGGCTCAAAGGGCCCACTGCCTCTGGAGCCCTGACCCCAGGCCCTCCCCCAAAGGCAGATTCTGGCTGCTCACCTTTCCCTCTCCTCCTACTCAAGCCTGCCTCAAAGACCGAGGTCAAGCACGCCATGGAAACTGCCCTGACCTCAGGCAGGCTGGGAGTTGGAGAGGGAACCCAGAGTGTGGGGCTGCTCCGGCCGCAGGCACACAGCAGGGAAGTGGAGTTCACCAAAAGCGGTTTCCAGTGGATGCCAGAAACCACCTTAAAAAAAGTGTTGAGACACTGTGAGTGCTCACTGGCCTTGCTCCGTCCCCATGGCAAGGTCACACGGTCGGGCTCCGGGGCCCGGCACCCTGCCCCAGACATCACCAATACTGCCTCTTGAGCAGAAAAAACACGGAGCCACCTATTCGTTCCGCAGTGCTGGGGACTGCAGTGGGGCCCTGCACACGCGGCGAGCACGCCGCCACGAGCCACGTCCCGGTCCCAAATCACTTTAAATGACTTTGAGGTCCGATCAAAAAGGGAAAAAGCCTCGTCCCCCAGAGATGGGCCTGGGGACCGTGCTGCTGACAAGTCCGGGAGGACGCTCCCGCGACCGCTCCTCGGGCCCCGGCGGTCCCCGCCCGACAGCCCTCGCCAGCGCCGGGGCGCCCTGGGCGGCCGCCAGCCCGGCCCCGAGGCGGGAAGCGGGACCGCGCGGTGCGCGAGCGGCGGGCTCCTACCTGGATGTCGGCGTCTGACACTCCGAAGTCCAGGTTGGACACCAGCAGCTTGCCCCCCGTCTCCACGCCGGCACCGCCCCCGAAGCCGCTGTCGAACAGGTCGTGCTGCCACTTGTCGGGAAGCTGCTTCGGCTGAAGGGAAAGCGCAAGCGGAGCAGCCCGTGAGCCTCGCCGCGGGCCCCTGGCCCGCTCCGCCAGCTGGCCCTCCCGCGCAAGCCCGCGGCCGCTCGCTCGCCTTCCCGCCGCCGCCGCCACGAGGGCCCGGCGGGATCGCACAAAGCGGCGGAAGAATCCCCGCCTCGGGGCCGGGCCTCGCGGCGCGACCTCGTCCCCGCCCACGGCTCCGCGGACGGTGCCCGCGCCTGCCGGGCCGCCCGCTCGCGCCCGCGCGGCCCCGCACTCACCCTGCTGTAGGGCGCCGGCCGGTTCCTGCCGCCGCCGCCCGCAGCGCCGCGGGCGATGGCCGGCCGGTTCCGCATGAGTCCGCCGCCTCGATTCACCCGCGCGGCGGCCTGCGCCCCGCCTCCACGGCCGCCCTGGGAGCCGGCCCTGCCGCGGCCCCGGCCCCCGCCGCGGCCGCCTCGCTGGCTCCGGTTCAGCTTAATGATGTCGTCCAGAGACATGTCCATTTTGTCGGCCATGGCGGGCGCGGAATCGGGCCTCAGCTCGAGCCCGCGCGTCAGCACGCTGGCGCGTCACTTCCGGCGCCGCGCGTGGCCTTCCGGCGCCGCGACCCCGGAGCGGCAGGCGATTGGCCGCGGCGAGCGCGGGGCGGGAAGACGCGTGCGCACTGGGAGCGGGGCTCGGCGAGCGCAGCTCTGAAGGCGCCGGACGCGGTGCGGTCGTTTTTATACCTTCCCGCGCGGACGCCGGCGCCGCCAACGGAAGGGCGGGGCGGCGCGTGATTAGGTGGCGTAGGTGCGAGGGCACAGGGTGGGCGGGGCTTGGCGCCCCTCTCTGCCCGAGGGTTGGGATGCGGGCGCGCGGGTCCGGGAGAGCTGCCCTCGGGCGACGAACGGCGTTGGCCAGGCCCCCAGCCCGCCTCCCTCGGGCCTGCGGGAGAGCAGCCACCACGCCTCCCCGCTCACTTCCGCTGGAGACTCCGCGCGGCGTCGTGGCGACTCCCTGAGAACCAGTGCGCCCTGCGGCCGGCGCAGGTCCGACCACAGCCCGGCGAGCAGAGCGGCCTGTGGCTCCTGCGCCCTGCGGGCGTGAGCCTCCGCGGACGTGGCGTCCGAACGCGGCCCCCAGGCGCTGCGCCGAGCGCCGAGCCCCGGCCGTCGGGCACCGCGCCCGCCTCGCTGCCCACACACTGCAGCTGCGCAGAATAACGTTAGCCGGTAACCCTCTGCCCTCGCCCGCAGGCCCCGCCGCCATGAAGGTGAAGATCAAGTGCTGGAACGGCGTGGCCACCTGGCTCTGGGTGGCCAACGACGAGAACTGTGGGATCTGCAGGATGGCATTCAATGGCTGCTGTCCAGACTGTAAGTGTCTCCTGCGCGCCCAGCTCTTGCTGGCCCACCCCGGCCTCGAAACCCCTGGCTTTCGTCTCCTTTCCAGAAAAGAGCCGGGCAGGTTGGGATCAGGTTCCTGCGGAGATCTGTAATGCCAGCGGCCTGGGAGGCTGAGGCAGGAGGACCACGACTTCAAAGCCAGCCTCAGCAAAAGTGTGGCGCTAAGCAACCCAGTGAGACCCTGTCTCTAAATAAAATACAACATAGGGCTGGGATGTGGCTGAGTGGTCGAGTGCCCCTGAGTTCGATCCCTGGAACACCACCCCACCCCACCCCGAAAAAAATCCGGTCAAAAGCCGGTGTGGTTCCTACCTGTGGGCCTTACTCTGAGGCTGAGATAGGAGGATCGCTTGAGCCCAGGAATTGGAGACCAGCAGAGCATGTGTAGCACCAAGAAAGATATGTTTTAGACACTTTGTTTGAAAATTCTCAAACAGTGAAACAAAGAAGGACACCTTTGGGCTGGAGATGTTGCTTGATAGTAGAGCACTTGTCTAGCATGTGCAAGAGAGAGACCCTGGGTTCCAACCCCAGTACTTCCCCCAGAAAAAGAAAGTATTTTATTTTTTTCAGTACTGGGGATTGAACCCAGGGACTCTTTAGCACTGAGCTACAGCCCGGGCCCTTTTTATTTTTTGAGACAGGGTCTCACTAAGTTGCTGAGGCAGGCCTCCAGCTTATGATTCTCCTCCCTCAGCCTCCCAAATCCCTGTGATTACAGGTATGCACTACTGAGTTGGTCATACCTAAAAAAAAAAAAAAAAAAAAAAATTCATGGTGGTACTGGGACTGGAACCCAGGCCTTAGACCTGTTATGCAGGCACTCCACCTTTAAACTACATCCCCAGCCTTCATGCTTAAGTCTTTAAAAGTAAACTGTGTGACCTTTTGTTGTTGGGGGCTGGGGTGTTTGTTTTTTCGTATTAGGGATTGGATGCAGGGGTGCGTTATCACCGAGCTACATCCCTAGTCATTTTTTTTTTTCTTCCAGCCATTTAACTCAGGGGCACTTGACTACTGAGCCACATCCCCAGCCCTATTCTGTATTTTATTTAGAGACAGGGTCTCACTGGGTTGCCAAGATTGTCCTCAAAGTTGGTGACTCTCCTACTTCAGCCTCCAATGTCACTGGAATTACAGGCATGTGCCACCAAGCCCAACTCAATTTTTTATATCTTCCCTGATTGAAAAGAAATTCCATCATCCAGGAGTTAATGCATTCTGACTTAATCTGATAGGTGAAATGTATCTTAAGAAAGAAATCATTGATTGGCTGGGTGTGGTGGCACATGCAAGAAAGAAATCACTGATTGATTGTATTTAAATGACTCCTAAAGCCAGGCGTGGTAATGCATGTTTATAATCCCAGCAAATCAGGAGGCTGAAGCAGGAGGATTGCAAGTTCAACCTCAGCCACTTAGGCCCTAAGCAACTTAGTGAGACCCTCTCTCAAAACAAAAAGGGCTGGGTGGTTGAGCACCTAGATTCAATTCCTGATAGCAAGAAAAATCTGTGAGACAGGTACAGGCGTGTACTGCTGCCTTCTAGCTACTCCAAAGGCTGAAGCAGGAGGGTCTCCAATTCAAGGCCAGCCTAGGCAACTCCTTGAGACCCTGCAAAAAGGAGCTGGGCGTGGTGGCACATGCACACCTGTAATCCCAGCATCACGGGAGGCTGAGGTTGGAGGATTTCAAGTTCAAAACCAGCCTCATCAACTTAGCGAGACCTTAAGCACCTCAGGGAGAAATCTCTAAGTAAGATATAAAAAGGGGCTGGGGATGTGGCTTTGTGGTTAGGTACTGCTGGGTTCAATCCTGGTGCCAAAAAAATAAGATAGAGATAACAAAAAGACCTTGGTGTGGCTTAGTAGTAGAGCATTTATCTGACGTGGGAAATAATTCAGAAACATTTTCAGTAACTTTGCCTTTTCTGGCCCCTCCCATAGGCTGGGCATGGGCAGTTGGTCCTGTGGATTGAAGATGGCTGTGGGGTACCTAAACCTGCTAGACCCCTTTAGGATGGACCCACACGTAGCCTGCAGAGCCTAGCCTGCAGCATGCCAGGGGTGTCTTTGACTGGGACATGAAAACAAGATCTTTGTGGTTGAACACTCAGCATTTCGTGCTTGGGTAGTGTGCGGAGTTTTTGTTAAAATGGCCTGTTGGCTGTAGAGAATAGGGAATTCAGTCCAGTGCTTGGAGTTAGCGGGATCTGATTTTAATGTGCAAAATGTTTTGCAGTCTAATATGCTTTCTGGATAGGTTAACTAGTGCCACATTTCTTTAACAACTGTGAGCAATCCAGAGTGACTAAGGCTATAATAAATCTGCTACATGACCCAGAGGGGCCTGGGTGAAAGCGGTCTTGTTGAGAGGTGTTTTAATTTAAAAAAAAAAAAGGGAAAAAAAAACCTCATCAGGACACTAGCAAGCCCTCCTGAGTCATCCTCAGGAGGTCCAGCCAGACCTCTGTACGTCCAGTCATTGGATGCCCAGCAGGCTGCCTACCAGTATCTGACTGGAAGGAGGGAGAACCTTCCTCCACAGTAGCCCTCCAACAGGGCCAACTGGGTGCCCACAACTGTGGTCTCACAGGCTCTAACCCTAATTTGAAAGGGGTGATTTCATTGAGACTTCTGCTGCTGATGGACAGGCACTGTGTGGAGACTGGGAGTAGATGTGACATAGAGCTGGCACCAGAGGGTGGGTTAGAGGCAGCGAGATTTAGCTCCTTGGTGCTAGACTGACTGGGGCAGGACTAGGGAGCATTGCTGTGCTCTGCATAGATCCTGAGAAATCAGGACAACTTTGATAGTATGAAGTGTCCCTCTCTGCACTCTCCTCTCCACAGGAAGCATCTCCAGACCCACAGGTTGGGTGTCTGCATCCTGTTCACCTGGCCTTGGAGATGGGGCCCTTTGAAGCTATACGTAGGAAGAAAGCTGGCCCTTAAATACCAGTGTCCCCAGGATGCTTGTAGGTCACCAAATCCCTGAAGTCCAAAGAGGATCTTCTAGGTCTCCACCTCCTGCTTTGATAAAGAGAGAATAGCTCACTGCTCAGATCAGCTCCTTGGCATCTGACCAGTAATGTTACTTTCTGGTTATCACAGTGGGTCAAGAGTCCACAGATGGTCCCCAAGGCCCGTGAGGTCAGATGTTGTCTCTTTACCCAAACTCTGAAGGTACAGGGTTCTTGTGGTCCAGCCAGACTCGCTCCCCTCTGTTTCACTTGGTGTAGGGGTGGGTGTTGAGAGCCACAGCCGAGTAGGGATGGCACATGGCATTTTGCCAGAAGGAGTGGTTGAGAGGTGACACCAGAGAGCCATTAAGATGATGATAATTAAGAGACAGGGTTTCACTGAATTGCTTAGGGCCTTGTTAAATTGCTGAGGCTGGCTTTGAACTTGTGATCCTCCTGCCTCAGCCTCCCAAGCTGCTGGAATTACAAGCGAGCCTGACCAGATTTTTGTCTTTGAAACATGAGACAGGAGAGGTACTGGCCTGGGGTAGGAGCCACAGCCTGATGTCCTAGGACCCCTTTCTGGCTTGCCACATGCTCTGTGTAGCCTGCCTGAGAATGCTGGGCCCTCCCTAATGCTGTCCCATCTTGGCCCTCCTGCAGGTAAGGTGCCTGGCGATGACTGCCCGCTGGTGTGGGGCCAGTGCTCACACTGCTTCCACATGCACTGCATCCTCAAGTGGCTCAACGCGCAGCAGGTGCAGCAGCACTGCCCCATGTGCCGGCAGGAGTGGAAGTTCAAGGAGTGAGTCGCCCATGCTGCACCTGGACCCCTCTCCCCCACCCCAAGATGGCCCTGAGTCCCCCTTTTCCTAGTGGGACCTGATGGCCATGGTCTGGAGACAGTCCTTGGGCTGTGACAGGGTTGAAACAAGGACCGGAGCCTGTTTGTTGTTTTCCATCACAATGCTGACGCTTTTATTCAATAAATAAAACTCATTAAAGTACCTGAGCCTTGCTGGAGGCTTTGGCTGCCTGTGTCTTGGCACATTGATGAAGCTGCAGTGTTTTGATATGAAAACTCTCATGAATAAACATCTTGATGAAACACCGCTGAAGTCCTGAGTCACAGTTCTGGGAAAAGAGTGCAGAATCATGAAAGAGCCTGGGGCAGGGCATGGCCAAATCAAGGCCCCGGAATGGAATATGTGTGTGCCAACGGGAGCCACAGCAGCCATGTCCTGTCAGTGGGCTTCTTAATGGCTGTCACCCCCAGAACCCTCACTCCGGCCTTGGCAGGAGGAAGATGTCCCCGAGCAAGTTCTGGTAGTGTCAGGTGGGCTGCAGATGGCTATGGCATTCTGTTCTCACAGAACCTTGTCCTTTGTTCAAACTGAAGACCAGGTCCAGTGCAGGCTCTCCATGTTGGGATGTCTCCAGGTGTCCTAGGGAAGGACACCTCTCAGGAGGCTCCTCTGGTCCCCACAGCCAAGAGAAGGCACCTACGGAGGGACCAGCAGCCCACTGCCGTCCTTCCTATGCTGTTCTTAGTAGCTTCTGCTACTAGGCACTCGGAACCCGGGCCCAGCGTGAGCCAGCATGGGGCCCCACTCCTGGGAACCTAACCTGGGAACCAGTTCTGCCCTCGTCCTCTCTGAAGCATCTTCTCATGAGACAGGACATGTCTGCCAGGGCTCAGGCTCCTCAGGCTAACCTCTGAACCCTCTATCGCCACAAAGCCTCCCTCTTGGCTTCCCTGCCATTTGAGTTCCCACTGAGTTCCACCTGGGTCCTTTCCTGCGGGTCAGCTCCACCCATCTCTGGTCTGCTCACCAGACCTCCCAGAATGTTGAGTTTCTCTGGAGATCACAAACCTAGTAGCCACCCCACTCTGCACATGGGGGCTCCAGTTCCTGCCCTTTGATCCCATTGTTCTGCTGCCTGCCTCCTCCCAGGTCAGGACCTCTGTAAAGTCCTCATCAAACCCTGTAGCATTCCCCCCTCTTAGCCCCCTGTTCCAGGAAGCCACAGAAACTCCTGTGGGAGGGTCACCCCACTGGTCTCTGCAGACTCTTCCCAAGCATCCTCTTACCTCCCTGGGAGGACCCCTTCCTTACTCCCACCTGTCCTAGGCAGGGACTGAGCCCTGTTTGTGGCCTTGGCCCTGGCATGCAGGTGGTGTTCAGTATGTCTTATTTCTGGGCAGTCTCCTGTGTGCCCAGTATTGGCTGAAGGAATGCAGGGAAGGCTCCAGGTGGAAGTATCTCAGAGACCACCATACAGGGTCAGAGCTGGGCAGGGAGCCGCCTGGGGTCTGCAGTCTCTTAGTCTGGCCTTCCCAAAGTTGGGTCCTGGCCTTGCTACCCTCCTCTTCCTATAGGATCCAGCCAGTAACAGAACCTCCCACCATGGGCATGAACCACACCGTGGCCCCCATGCTTTACCCAGGGACTTTAATGCCTATGGTCAAGAATTTTCAGTTCCCCTTTAGGGAGGGAGAATCTGTCCCTTGAGTACTGTGCAGGTACAGTCTTGGGAGTGCTGGGGACTGGGTGGGAGGTGGATCCTTGGGCTATTTGGGGGTTCAGTGCTGTCAGTCCAGGATGGACGGGTCAGTGGGAGGGTCTGTGCGCCTCAGCATGATGCTGCGTGGGCCTCACCCGAGCCTCCTGCATGCCCTATGCCTGCGGGACGCTGACGGGTCCCCTCCCGCCCCGCCCCCGCCCTGTCACCGCAGTAGATATAAGGCGGCCAGGCTCTGCGGCTCCACCTGGACGCTCCCCAGCCCTCCCGCTGCCTGCGTCCTCATGGCCCGGCACGCGACGCTGGTGGCCACGGCCCTGGCGCTGCTCTTGCTGCTGGCTCCACAGGGCCTTGCGTGGTACAAGCCGGCGGCCGGGCCCAGCCATTACTCGGTGGGCCGCGCCGCGGGGCTACTGTCCGGCTTCCGCGGATCCCCGTTTGCGCGGCGCTCGGAGCTCGCCGGCGGGACGGGCCTCCAGCGCCGCGCCGGCGCCTCCTCGGAGCTGCGGCCCAGCCTGCGGAGCCTCGTGAGTGCGCGCAGGGGGGCGGCGGGGGCCGGTGGGTGCGGGCGGCCCCCTCAGCCTCCACAGCCTCCACCGCCCACCCAGGCCGTGTGCGTCAAGGACGTCACCCCGAACCTGCAGAGCTGCCAGCGGCTCCCCGACGGCGGGACCTTCCAGTGCAAGGCGGATGTCTTCCTGTCGCGGCGCGCCGCCGACTGCCATCGCACCTGAGCCCCCGGCCCAAAATACCAACCTCGTTGACCCGGTGGGTGCCCCCAACGCCCACTGCCCGCTCAGGGACCCCCAGACCTGCCTCGCGGGATGGCACCCCTGACCCTCCCTCCCCGCCCCGTGCAGTAATCCGCCAAATGAATAAAGGAGAAGCTCAGTCAAGTCTTCAGAGGGGGACTGCTGGAGTGGGGGGGGGGGGGGCCTCGAGCAGGGCGGGGCCCCGAAGTCACCCAGACTAGTGGCCGCCTGGCCCGTAAAACCAGGGTTCCTGCTAGGGTGCCCCAGGTGCCGCTCTCCTCTGGTCAAGCTGGCTCCCCTCACCCTTGGCACACTCAAGGGTTCTGGGTCTTCCTCTAGAGCATGAGCTGGGACCTCTGGCTGCTTCCCTCTTGTTCCACTCCTGGCAGGGCGGACAGAAGGCCCAGAGTTCTGCGGTCTGCCTCTCAGGGTGTCCCCATTGTGCCCTTGCCAGCTGGACCTGCCAGCCCTCCACCCAGGGATTCCATGAGTGGCAGGTGAGCAGGGAGTCTCCCCTGGCTGGACCATGTGTCTTTGGGGTGCTGGGCCCAGGCTCTACCTGCTGCTGGTGCAGATCAGTCCCCAGCCCCTGCTCCAGGGTGCAAGCAGCAGCATATTCTAGGTGCTGGCATGTCTAGGCCAGGCCTGTTCTCTGCCCAGCCCAGCAGCCAGGCAGCCATGCCCTACCAGATCTAGCCTGCAGGCACTGCCTGGCCTCTCTGCTCAGGAATCCCACAGCTCAGGGGTCTGAACATGAGCACCACCCCACTTCTGAGACTGGGGGCACAGAGGGAAAGTGGGTGAGGCTTCTGTTGGGATTGTAAAGCAGACCTCAAAATCAGCTGGATTAAAAGGAAAGGGCAGGCCCATCTTCCTCAGAGGAACCTGCCCCTTTCCACCTGGTTCAGCAGCTCAAAGTGGGGAGGGCATTGGGCTGGAAAGCACCTTCATATTCTTCTTTTTGCAGAACTGGGAATGAGCCCAGGGACTAATGCACCCTAGGTAGGGCCTTGCTGTACCACTGAGCCACACCTATAGCCCTAATTCCCGCATCTGAATTCAACAGACATGCCAAATCATTGCCTCCCAGCCCCACTGGTAGGCAGCCCCAAGGCTCTGCGGCCTTCCTGGTCTTGCCACTCCAGAAGCCCTGTGGTGGGTGGGTGAGCTGGGGGCAGACACAGCACTTCCCAGCAGGCTTTATTCAGTTGCACCAGAGATGTACAAATCAAGACCAGGAAGTCTGTTGGGAGGGCAGCAGGACAAGTGCACCTTCCTGGAGCCAGGCACAGGGTACTGGGATGAGCTGCAGGGCACAGGGTGCCCAATGGGGAGTGACCCCAGGAACACAGCTCCCCAAAGCCATCCACTCTGTGCCTTCCACAAAGCTGGATAAGCAAGAAGTGCAGCCTCCAGCCAGGCAGGAGGGTCATCTCTCTCCAAGATGGGGGAGGAGCAGCAGTTAGAAACCACTGGATGGAAGCACACAGGAGCAACAGCCTTCAATATCACTGGTCCTCTCTGCCCACCCTGCCTGCTGGGCTGCTCCACTGCCGGATGCCTTCTCTGAGCAGGAGGAGCTGAGAGCCCACTACAAAACAGGCACCTTGCAGGCAGGCAGGAGTAGTGCCCTCCCCACCAGCCCTGCTGGAGCCAGGCCAGTTAGTGGGTGGTGCTGCAGCTTCCTTTAGAATTGCGTGAGCCAAACTCTAAGACGCAGAAGCAGAGCGGGGCAGGCACCGGCACAGGGGCTCTCCGTGACAGTCCTCCAGTCGGAAGTCTAGTCGCCCTCCCCCACAGGCTGTATCTCCTGCTGCCTGGTGGCCTCGAGGAAGGCCAGCTCCTTGGCTTCTTTCTTCTGGTTTCGTGCCTCATACTCTAACCTGGGGGCCGGGCTATGGTGAGCTGCGCCAGGGAATCTTCCCTCTGCTGGCAGCTGCTTGGTACCCACCCCAAGGGGCCCTGGGGATACCTGTTTTTAATGATCCTCTGCACAATGAGGTCCGTAGTGAGGTCACTGCCACTGTCAATCTGATAGAAGATGCCTCTCCTCTTGGGTTCCTGGAAGCCTCAAGGAGAGAGAGATGAGTTCCCTCCTGACCACAGAAACTAGCTGTCTCTGCCCTGCCCCAGAGGGAGGCTAGCACAGGGCCAGGAGAGCAAGCACTGGTGCTCATTAGCAACCTGCCTCCCTGTCCCCTGGAGCCACACAGCAGCAAGGATCTCTGTGCCATCCCAGAGACAGGTGAAGCCTCAGGGAGCTGCATCGGGGAGCAGTGAAACCCACCTGGTAGGGATCAGAGCCATCCCTGTCAGGCACGATGTCTGTCTTCCCATGACAGACAAGGTCCACCTGGGAAGGGAGCAGGGGTCAGCCCAGGTGCCTCTCTGGGAGCCACAGCAGCACCAAGTACCTACCCCACGAGAAGCCTCACCTTGAAGTGACCCAGGAGCTCTGCTGTGACCGCATATGGGGCCCCAATCACCACTTCTGACACATACTGTGGGGACAAGGAGCAGAGAAGCTTGGGACAAGGAGTCGTGGCAGAGGTCCCCAACCCTGGCAGGCAGGACTGGAGAATGGCAGGAGATGGCCCTAGATGCAGGGCTGAGGTTGCAGGTGAGCGAGCAGAGACAGGCAGGGCTGGGGCTGGCTGGCCAGGGAGCCCACGGCGTCCTGCCTCCTGGGCCTCTTGGGTTCCTTAGTTGGGAAGAAACACACCACCAAGGAGGCCAGACCACCTTACCAAGTGGGATGGACAGGCACCCACACCCTGGCTCAGGGAAGCCTTTGGAAGGGAGAGGCCAGGGGATGTTCCCCTTCCGGGCTGGCTCCTAGCCTGTGCTCACCCGGCAGGCCAGCACACTCAAGGTCCGCTCATGCAGGTTCATGATGGGGTAGTTCTTCCCCTTGTAGCGATTGACCTCCTAAGGGCAGAGCAAGGTCAGCTCAGCTTCAGGGCCTCATGTGGACCGGGTGTTCTCCCTCCCAGTGATGCCTTATGGGCAGGAGTTAGGAGAGGAGCCAGGCAGAACGGTTCTGGACCCCAGAAGAGACCCAAGCTCACCCACCCAGGAGGTCTCTTTTGCTTTCAAAAGGCACTTGAAGCCTCGTTCCTCCACAGGCCACTTGTGCCCAACATCCACCCTGGAGCCCCACCAGGGCCTCATGGCCCGTCAATTGTCTGGGTCTGGGGAACAAGGAGGCAGGGCAGAGACCTGGTCAAAGTGCAGGCCGGCGATGACGTAGGGCCTGTCAGCTAGCCTGTACACCTTCTCGAGAAAGTCCACGTGCCCAATATCTGTACACAGGTCAAGAGGCAACAACAGGCAAGAGGGCAGAGAGCTCCCGCCTCCCAGGGAGTTGGCTCAGCACCTCACCACTCTTTCTCCCTGCCAGGCTGCTCTCCCCGCACCCCAGCCCAGTCCCAGGGCCTTGAGGGGCCTGTGGCCCAGGTTCCCCTTCCATGGTGTGGGCGTGGCACCACAGTGGTACGGAGGAGGATACGGAACAGGTCAAAGGCACCAGCCACATAGATAACCGTCTCCCCTGGCTGGGGCTCCTTCCCAGAAGCAAACTGGATGATCTTCTGGGATGTCTGTAGAAACTGGGACACCCCTGTCCAGGGGTTGCGCCCCCTAGGACACTGTCAGCCAAAAGAGGAAGCTGGTCAGCAGCAGAGGCCTCTCAGGCATGTCCCTTGTCCAGCTCCTTCCTGGGACCACTCTTCTGGGTATAGGGCTGCCTGTACCCCTGTCTGTCATGGTGGGGATTGGGGAGCAGACGCAGTGGGCACCATGGGTCAGGACTTCACACCCCCACTGCAGCATGCCACAACCCAGAGGCCCACTGGGTCTGTTTCCAGGCAGGTACCTGGAACAGGGCAGGAGCAGGGACACCACCGCCAGTCCAGGCAAGGCCACTGCCACTGGCAGGACTGTGGCTCTGCCTAATGGCCACAGTAGGTACTGCAACTAACACCAGCTCCACTTGGTGGACTCACCACCATGAGGTACAGAACCTAGTGGCCTGTGGACACAGCCCTCTGGGAACCCAGCACCCTTAGGCCACCATCTGGTCACCTGGGAGGAGCCTTCTGAGGAAAGTATGTCCCCGGCAGGTGTCGGGTGAGGGGGCTACAAAGGGAGAGAGGGGCAGGCCATTTGGTTAGAGGCCACCTGTCAGTTCCAGGCAGGGAGGGAGGAGAGCTGGCCTTTCCCTAAAGAGAGCCCCAAGGGGAGTGTGGGTGGTGGAGGAGGGGCAGCCAAGCACTGGCTGCACTCCCAGGTGGCCTTACTGGCCAGAGCTCACTCACCTTGCCAAAGCTGTCTGCGTACTCCCTGTACTCGGAGGACATCTCCTGCACAGGAGGGACAGCCGCTGAGGGGTCTTACCCTCCAGACTTGCCAACCCCATGACTGCATAGCTTGTGGCTCCCCCAGCCAGAGGAGAGGTTGAGGAAGAGAAAGATGGGGAAGGGTGGTTGTCCTCAACCCAGGGAACCAGGGACCCTGCCCCATCCTGCACTCACCTGGCTGCTATGATGGGCCTTGGTCACAAGCAGCATGCGGCCCACGAGGTCTGTGGTAGATACGCCCTGGGTGCGTTTGCACTCTCTGGGGGGACCAAAGGGAGTATGGGGGGGTTCCTGTCCTGGACCCACAGGACCCCTTTGTCAGGCTCCACCTGCAGTGGACCCCACCCGAGGGACATGACCTTAACCCTGCCTGTGCACCTCTCTGCACTGACCACAACAGAACACAGAATTGGAGCATGGGGAAGAGCCTGTACTGAGATCAGCTAGAGAGAGGCAGGAGCAGAGCAGAAAGGTCACTAAGGCCCATTCCTGCAGTGCTGGGAGCTGGGAGCAGGCAGGGCAGACTCAGGGTGGTCCCCATTCTGCATCAGGCCCCCAGCCTCCCTCACACCCAGGTCCTGCCTGACTGTGCCCTCTCTGCCAAGGGAATTCCAGCTTGCCCCATTTCTTGCAGGAGCCACTGGCCACAACTAGGTCTTTAAAGTAATTAAAAGCCAGCTCCCAAAGGGCACAAGTCCCATAAGGCACTCACCAGCTGTGCTAGGCTGTGGTGGCCGTGCTCACAGCTCTGATCAAGAACCTGGCCATCCCTGCTAAGCTCTGCCTGTAACACGTCTCTGAAGCCCTGGAATTGCCATGAAGTAAGGGCCACAACAAGCGCTCCCCTTCCTGTGTACCCAGTCTTGGCCAGAAGCCCAGACACTCTTCTCAGAGGAGGCCACAAAGCGGCCAAGAATGAGCTGGAAGGAACCCTTGCACTTGGTGCCCTGACTGGTAGGCCACCTGGGGACTTACCTGTACCTCCCAGCCTGTTTCACTTCCTCGTAGGTGTCACGGCCATCTACAGTCAGTGTGATGTCATCTAGAGAGTGACATGCACACCAAGACAAGGAGGCTCAGCCTAGAGCCAGCACCCAGCTCCCCTCTCAGTCCCCAGCCTGTCCCAGTATCTGTGCACTTATTTCTGGGGAGGGAGCAGAGCTTTCCTGGAGCCCACAGGGAGGAGGCCCACCATTGCCAGGTACCACCCGGGACCTGAGCGCAGCCCCAGGCCCTCCCACTCACTGCCGTGCACACAGAAGTCGCAGTTGTACTTGTCCAGCGTCTCCAGGGTGGTGACATAGGGAGCCGCAGGCACCACCTCGTCCACCCACTTGATGGCCTGCACCATTTTGTATCTCTCCTCCTGGGTGAACACCGGGGGCCCTTTGTGCTTGGCGATCTCCTCTATGACCACAAGACAAGACAAGGATGAGAGAGGTGACCTCCAGCCCCCCAGGCTCCTTCCTCAGGAGCCGCCCTGTCCTGTACTTACAGTGGGGTGTAGTAGGGAGCCTGCCTCTCACTGGGTGCTCAGGCCACGGGGCAAGACCACCGCTGTGCTCTGGCCAGCAAAATGGATCAGAGCATCTGCTGGGTAACAGGACAGCCCCTCAGTCTAGGCGCTGAGGAGCCAGGACAGGGGTGGAGGGGATGGGCCGCACAGCCAAGGAGCCTGTCATGAATGCCACCGGCCTGTTCTCTATAGCTGGGGCCTTCCTCAGTCAGGCAAAGCTGGGTTGAGCTTGCCAAGCTCCCTCACAGCCAAGCTCTGGGAAGGATGTGTGGACCTGCCCTACCTGACCCAGTCAGAGAAGACCATGTCAGACTGTGGGTGGTGTGGGCACAGCAGCCTGCACCTTACCATCGGTGTGAACGCCCACAATCAGGTAATCTCCCATGGCTCGTGCCTGGCGCAGCTGGTTGGAATGGCCATAATGCACCATGTCATAGCTGTGGGGACAGACAGGGCAGTCAGGCCCTATGTTAAGGAAGGTAGGTGGTAAGGGGCATTGTGGGGCACATCTTTGATCCTTCCAGAATTCGTGAGATAGCTCTCTTGAAAAAACACCGGGGGAAACTGCTACCCAGGATCTATCCAGAAGCAGGATTTCAGCAGGGAGGTGGGCACTAAGATGTCCACCCCCCAAGATCCAGGGCCAGAGGTCAGGACCCTATCAGTGTCAGGACTAGAAAGGATGGTGCACCCAGGGACAGGCCTGGAGGAGAGCACGGCTGAGGAGCTCCCAGGACAGACTCTCCCACTGGTGGCCGTGGTCACTTCTCAGGCCTCAGGTGGTTTCTGCACTTGTCCCCTTCTTTCACTAAATACAACCTGCTGTGGGGAGTCACTTTAAACTTTAAAACAAACATTGTGGGTTGGGTCCGGATCCTATTCTACCTTGAGGTCCCTGGGGTCAACACAAAACCAAAACTCCAACCAAAGAAGCCTGGGAATCACTGGTTTTGAAAATTTTGGTTCCTCCCCCACTGCCTGGCTTAGTGAAAAACAGCCTGTGTCACTTGGTTCTACAGCTCTTATCCTCAAATCCGAGTCTAGCTATGAGTGCATTCTCCAGTTCAAGGCTCCTCAGCCCCTGCAATGTGCTGGGCCCCAGGTGCTCCTGCACACTTTGGGAACAGCCCTCGAAATCCTCTGTGGGCCAATGCTGGGCCCTGGGTTGGCTCTACCTCCCTCCAGAGATCCCCATCCCCTGTGAGGTATGATCAGGTGACCTGGAGCAGCCCCCCACCTCTCAGAATAGCCATTTACCACTCTCACCACAGTGCAGGGGGTCCCAGCAGACAAACTGGGTGGGGTTACAGGATTCAGGCCCAGGGTCAACTTCATCCAGCCATGTGCCCTCTGCACAGGATGGATGGGAGGAGGGGTCAGAGGCTGGATTGGGGGAACACACGGAGGAAAGAGTGACACTGAATCCTAGCTACTGCGGCCTGTGGCCTGATTGGGGTGGGCCCCTGGCCAGGGCCAAGGTCAGAGTACAACAGGAAGCCGAGTTCCCTCTTCCCAAGGTGACTCAGGTGCAAAAGAGATAAGGTTCTGCCCGCTCCCTTTAAGCCTTCTCAGGAGCTATGGGCTGACTAGCCAAGGTCCTTCCCCACTCCATCAGGTGCAGGCCTGTGAAATCACTGAGGGCAGCAAGCTATCGGAAAGGTCAACTTTCCTTCTACTTGTTGACAGCCCCAAAGTTTCTTCAAAACAATGACCTCCTCTAAATTGCCAGAAAGCCCATGGCATTCCTGACCCACCGCGGGCTGGGAGCCTGTGTGCTCCATAGCGCCTCGGACGACCTGGCAGTCCCCAGTGAGCGCCCGAGGGGCGCATCTCCAGTTTTCCGGAAGGACACTGCCGGCTGCATCAGCGTCTGCACATTTCGCGCCTAACCTCGCGCCTAACCTCCAAGTGATGGGACGTGGGCTGGCCTCGCGCAGCGGGGAGCGACAGAGCCCCGGAAGGCTCCAAGCCCAAGCCGGCAGGCGTCGCTGAGGAGCCCAGGGGGACATCAGGGAAACCCTGGACTAGGCCCCCGCGATCCGACCGGGGTCGGTGGCACACCGAAGGGCGCGACCGCAGGCGCGGGCCGGCCCCCAGGCAACTGCCGGCGCCGACCCCGGGAGGAGACTGCTGGCCGCCCGTCCCCGCCCCGCTCACCAGCCGTCGCACCACACCCGCACCGCGCGCCTGCCCGCTGGGCTCGGCCGCTCCGCGCCGCCCGCCGCCCCGTGCCCGTTACGGATCATGGCCCCGCAGCGGCGGTGCGGTCCCGCAGCTCCGGTGACTCCGAGCGCCGCCGCCCCGCCCCGCCTCGCCTCGCGCGCGGCGTCACGCGGGCCTCACCCGCGGCGCATGGCCAATGGCAGGAGCCGCCAACACCGGGCTCCGCCCTCAGGCCCCGCCCACCACCCGGCAGCACTTGGCCAATGGAGAGCACCTCTTGGCCCCGCCCCCAGCATGCAGCCAATGATCAGCATCTCCGAGCCCGACCGCCCCTCCGCCCACCAGCGCAGCCAATGGCATACGTCACCCCCGCCCTCCGGCCACACTGGCCTCTGTGACTCGCCGCACACCTGGCAGAAAGGACTGGCTGGTACCGCGCGGGTGCTTCCGCCACCGCCTCAGTACAACAGTGGCGGAGCTTTTAAGCAACCTCTGCGCCTAGGAGCCGGCTCGCGGCCGCTCGATACTGAGCATAACAGCAGACATCCGGACACGAACACAGTGCAGAAATGTTTAATAAGAAAGATCTGCTCCGAGCCAAGGCTCAGAACCGCCCCTTTGCCGCATACCCAACAGAGATCTCTATAAAGTCAGCTTTTTAGTAAGGAGTAGAAACTGGGGAGGCCCTGAGAGTAGCCTGATGAGTGAGGTAACGCAGCCTGGGCTCCTCTGCCGACCAGGCTGGGATGGACCCGGCTCTGTCCTCCCAGAAAGGCCTGCTGCCACCTCTTGTATGGAGAGGGGATGTCCTGGATGGTCAAGCCCATAATGGGGGCAACTGTGCAGTGCAAGGGGGCTTCCCACAAGGACAGACAAATGGCTGAAAAACGTCAAGGTGACCTGTCACCCCAGTTCTTCCCACTAGACCCTTTGGGGGCAACCTGGCCTTGACAGTGACACTGGCCCCTGAACAAGAGTTCCAGCCATCTACAAAGTGCCAATTATCTTCATCAACACCAGGTTATGTGGCTTTCTTCCTTTTTGCACGTTTGGCACAGCCCCTGCCAAACCAGCCCCCTAGGATGGGGCCTGAGGTAAGTGGGGCACCCCGGTCCCCAGGCGGGGCCTCCTCTCTGCTTCGGCACAAAGACTTCCGACTGTGGCTGCCTTCTTCACCAGCTCGAAGGGGAGTCGCCAGGGAGAAGATTGGGTCCTGCCACCTACCAAGAAGGGAAGGCTGCATCAGGCAGGTCTGCACCCTCTCAGTGCAACCCACCCCAGCACAGGGAAGCTGCCTGAGGTCACCTGCCTTCCCTCCCCATCCCTTGTCTTCTAACCATGGCTGGGCTTTGGTTGGTGGTAGCTGCATCCTCACCAAGCTACAGAAGAGCTGCAGGAGAGGAAATCTCCTTGGGTGGCAACTCAAAGGCCAGCACCCACCCGAGCTGGCCTCCTCAGAACTCAAGTGTCTCATCCACAATTAGTGGGCTGTGCTCACACAGGGTAGGATGGCAACAGCCCTGGGGGGGGGGGGGGCTGGGGGGGTGTCTCCAGGGATGGTCACTAGCAACGCTGGGCCCCACCTTTCTTTTGTTCAGCCAGGGGCAGGTGGACCAGACCCTCTTCCCCTTCCCAGACTGCACGACGGGGATGAGAAGGATGGCCAGCTGACTGGGGAGGCGGCCCACAGACTACATCGTGAAGAAATCATGTGTCTGACTGAGATGTAGAACCACATGTTATAAACGTAAGGTACATATAAGCACTGATAAAGAAAATGAGCTAAGTTAATGTAAAAAAAAAAAAATACAGGACATAATAGGCCCACGTCACAGAACACCACAAACATAACATACAAGAATTGCCAGGCCCAGAGGTGAAGGGATCCTTAATTTCTTGAACCCTTTGATTAAAAGAAGTTACTGATTTCCCCTATAAGACCCTGAAAATTCACAGAGAAAGAAAGTGTAAACTTTTTACTCAACATATACACCAAATCTAAATTATCACAAATTCCGCATTAAGGCACAGGTTAAGCTTCCCCCAAATATACCAACTCCCAAAACCAAGGACAATGAGATTCCGTTTGACTGGAGTAGCCAAGTCCTCATCCCCTCCAGGCCCCTTTCCATTCAGGTTTGTCTGAGAGGTCAACAAGGAAAGGTCAAGTAGAACGAACTGGCTGATGCCCTCTCCCTGCAAGGGATACTGGGCACCACACCAGCCAGAGAGAAGTGTACACGTGAAGTCTTGCCACCTTGGCAAACCAAGGCCAGTCGCTGTGGAGGACACCAGCTTCAGACCACCTCATACAGTGCTCACAACACCTCAGAGCTTCCTCCACGCTCAGCGCACAGGAGCAGACAGACACGGCCCACCAAGGAGGGGAGGACACAGGGCTGACCCAGCTTGCCCACTCACCTGTTGTAGAGGGGGATCTCTAGGCCCAGCTCGTCCATGAGGAGCTGCATGACATCATCACATTTCCCATGAAGCTTCAAGGCAGCCCAGTCATCCTTTGGGGTCCACTGAAGGCAGGAAAAGCAAGTGAGGCAGGGTGCAGTGGCACACCCCTATAATCCCATCAACTTGGGAGTGGAGGCAGGGGATCACAAATTTGAGGCCACTCTGGGCAACCTTAGCAAGACCCTCAACAATTTACGGAGGCCTTGCCTCAAGATATAAAATAAAAAGGGGTGGGGATGTAGCTCAGTGATAAAGTGCCCCTGGATTCAATCCCCAGTACTAAACACAACAAAACAAAACCAATCAAGAAGTCCCTATTGCTTCCTAGCCTGTAGCCTTGAACTCCGCAGGGCCAGTCAGCACTGGGTGAGCACAGCCTTGAACTCCACAGGGCCAGTCAGCACTGGGTGAGCACTCAGTCAGCACTCCCCAGGTGACCACCCAGGCTTGCACTACACCTCCTGAGATATGGATGTGAGATGTCTTTCTGGCTTTTCAGATCAAAGAAATCAGCTCTGAGCACCCAAGTTACCTGCAGGTTCACAATGTAGAGCTTGGGCCGCCGGCTGGGGGGCTTGGTCATGCACCAGAGGCGGGGATACTTCTTTAGAACCTTTGAGAATAGATAAGACATAGCATACACATGTGAAGAGCCAGGCTGGAGAAACAGAGTCCAGTGCACATAAGGCAGGTAGGCTCATTCCCAATTGGGTTTACTACGTTGTTGTCACATACCTTCAAGCTGGACCCTAAACACAAGATCGTGTCTGCTTTGCTTGCAGCCTCTGTTGCGGCCTCCCAGTTCAGAGGCTGCCCCAAAGTTCCCCTCTCTCCAAAGTGCACAATGGTATCCCGGAGCTGAGCCCCACACTTGTGGCAGGTCCGGCCTGTCTGGTGTCGGTGGAGAGCAGTGCGTTCTGTCACATCAAATACACGCACATACTCCCTGTTGGGGATGCAGGAGGTGCAGACCTGAGGACAAGAAGGCACAGTGAGTGGGACCTGCCTGCCACCCAGGCCCTGTGTCCCCGCAGGACTGCTCACTTCAATGTACATGTTCCCGTGGAGCTCTGAGATGGCGGTGCGTGGCAGCCCACTTCGCAGATGGAGCCCGTCACAATTTTGAGACACCACGTGCTGTACCTGGAAGGCAGGACATGGTGGCAGTCAGCATGGGAATGGAGGAAGCATCCTACCACGGTGAAACCCTTCTTAGCCCAGCCTGGCCAAGAGCTCCCAAGACCAGGTACAACTATGACCCTACAGAAAGCCTCGGAAGGTAAAGTATGGGGCAGATGCATACCACGAGGACTTGGTAGGGCCCCATCACGGGGAGATACCGTGTTCTCCTGCTACCAGCTCTGACACACCCAGAGCAGCTGGGAAGGCAAGCATCTCTGTTGTCCCTATAAGGCTGGGAAGAGACTTAAGGCTCTGGGTGGAGGTATGACCACTCTGCTCCAGACGGATGCCCTCTTGGATCACCTATTTCAGGTCCCTGAGGACGCAGGTCGAAGGTGCTCACCAGAGGGTCTGAAGACATCTCTGACAAGCTAACCTGTGGCTAAGGAGGCTTCCAAGGCACCTGGAGCAATGCAGAAGAATCTGGAGATACTCTAAGCTGGCCCTGGAGAGAACAGTACAGGGCGGGGGATACCCTTTCTTCTGGAAGAGGAAACTCCACAGGATCAAACAGGAGTCTGACCTGCTGGGGCTGCTCATCATCATAGGGTCAACTGGCAGAGGTGGGATGCAGCTGCCCACTTGGGTACTAAGGTTACGGCTCTGGGTCCCAAGCCTGGCCCTGGGTGTGTATGCCAGTCAGTATGCTCTTACCAGCTTTTGTTCATGTAAACAAGCAATACTCATGTGGGTGAGCGTAGGCTCTGCTTCACTCAGGTCAGTAGCACTGTTGGGCAGAAGGAAAAGCGGAGATAAGGGAGCTGCAGGCCAGGCCATTAGGCCCTTGCTCAACCATGCGGGAAGGCTGTGTGTGGGCTGCTCACCTCACATTTCTCCCTTTCTGAAGCAGTGTCCACACTCCATTAGGGCCCCGGTAATCTGGGATAGAGGCTGCCTGCACATTCAGAAAAAAAGCCCAAGGAAAAGTCATCACTGTGTGTAACTGCAGAATTCTCCAAACGGGACATGCCACATTGCGGGCTGACCCACAGACTGGCCTCTGTTACTTCCACAACTATCTGCCCGACGCCAGGTAAAGTGTGTCCCAATGCAGCTCCTTCCCTCCATCTGTACTTCCTCTTCCTGCCAAGCCCAGCTCATCCATCCAGGCTCCATGGAGATTTGTCCTTCTATGGGAGGTTCTCCAGCTGAGTACAAGGCTTAGATCTGTGGCCATGTCTATCCACCACACTGAGGTGGAAAACTGATCAGGTTCATCTGTGTTTTCAGAGCCTGCTAAAGAAATACTTAACAATGGCAAGCCACTGGGTGGGAGCACTCCTCTGCCCAAATTATTTTACCCTGAAACTGAATAATTACTACTGAACCTCAACACATAGAGGTCAACCTCTCCAGATGAGATAAACATCCAATTTTCCAAATTTCATTTATTTTCTTTTTAAAGCACCAGGGACTGAACCCAGGTATGCTTCACTATTGAGGTACACCCCCAACCCTTTTAATTTTTCGAGACAGGTTCTCACTTAGTTGCCAGCTGGCCTCAAACTTGTGAGCCTCCTGCCTCAGCCTCCTAAGCCTCTGGGATTACAGGCATGTACCACCACACACTGCTTAATTTTCCAAATTTTTGGTCCAGTGAAATAAACCGATCCTAAAAAGAAAGCAGAAAGAAACAGGATCCAAGTAACTTGTGCTCCTCTCTGGGGAAGCCCTGTCTCCTCACTGCTGTTTAATCTCAAGACAAATGCCCACTCTGTCACATTTCAAAAGGAGAACAGAGCTGGGAATGGTGGCACACACCTGTAATCCCAGCAGCTAGAGAGAGGCTTGTAATACTTGAGTATTCCAAGTTTGAGGCCAGCCTCAGCAACTTAGCAAGGCCCGTCTCAGAATAAAAAATAGAAACAGTTGGGGATTTGGGTCAGTGGTTAAGCACCCCTGGATTCAATCCCTTGTATAAAAACAAAACAGCAACAACAACAAAAAAAAAACAGTAGTATATTCAATGTTATTCAAACAATAACAGACAAAATTAGCTGCATGTGGCTTTTAGTTGTCATTAGATTTTATAAAACGTGACAGCACTGTCCCTCAATAATCCCAACTGGATTTTTAGACATGGCTATGAAGGAGGGGGCCCCAGATGCTTGGGCTCTAGGTATTTACAAGTTAAGGCAGCAAACTCACCTTGCACATTCTTGCTATTGAACCTCTGCTGTTTTCTGTTTGGAGTGCCTCATGCCCACTTCACCTGTAAATCTTCCTCCTTTCATGGCCCCAATTCAATACCTCATGCAGCAAGCCCATCAGGATGGATGCCCCAGTTTTGAGTATTGAGGGTGTGTCTGGATTTCTGGGATAGCAACCCCAGTCAGCATTCTGTTTATTTGTTTACATGGCTGATTACTGTCACCTAACTTCCTCAGAGTAGAAATCACTTGGTGTCCACTTCTACTGGGCTTACACATGCCTAACACTTCACACTCCTTGATCAGACTGCGTTTAAATGACCTGTGAGTCACACTTTCAAAGCTAGCCCTGTTCCACAGTCCAGGATAGCTCATCAAACTTCTCAAAACCCAGTGCATTTCTTTTCTTTGCCCATATATTCTGATTATTACCGGGTTGCTTTCTATTTTTCTTCCTTACAAGGTGGGGAAAGCACAATGAGCAGAATATCAGGACACTGAAGGATAACCTGGGTCCATCCATTAACTCTGTTAACTTCAAGAGGGGGTGCCAGAAGGCAGTTGGCTTCTACACCTATTTCCGTCTGTTTATTTTTAGTGTTTGTAAGAGATCAAGCGTTTTTTGTTTTTATTTTTTGTTTGTTTTTTTAACCTTTATTTTATTTATATGTGGTGCTGAGGATCGAACCCAGGACCTCACACATGCTAGGCGAGCGCTCAACCACTGAGCCACAACCCCAGCCCAGATCAAGCGTTTTTAAAGTCTGCCTTAGTTAACTTTTATATCAAGTCGTTTCGTGAATGGAGAAATGAAGAGACCTTACAGCTGCTTTAAAGGTGAAATTTGTCTTTGCGACTGGGTGGTGACCTAACCCGCCCGGCCCGCCTCGGTCCCTACCGTGCTGATGCCCGCGCCGGTGTAGACCACCAAGTATTTGGCATTCCGGACGGCGCCGGCCAACTCCTGGACCTTCCTCCGCAGCTCCTCTGGGTCATCGCACACCTGCCGGGAGCCGGGACTGGTCACGCCGCCCGCCGCCTCCACCGCCGCCCGCCGCCCGCCGCCCGCCACGCTGGACTCGCCTCCTCCTGCCGCCGCTTGAGACCCTCGCGCCGCCGACTCCGGCCCTGCAGCTCGGTAACAAGGTCCTCGCTCTCGGCCAGCAGCCGGCCCTCCTCGACGCTGCGCTCGGTCGCCGCCTTCCTCAGGATGCGCGACACCTGCGGGCGGGCGGGCAGGCGGTGAGCGACGGCGCGGGCGGGCACGGGCGCGGGCGCGGCGGCAGCCTACCTGGCGGAGTCGCTCCCGCTGCTGCTCCTCCCGCAGCCTCCGGACCCGCTCCGCCGCCTTGCGTTCCGAGCGGCTGAGACCGCCGGCTGCCATCGCTCCCGGACCCCGCTTCCGGCTTCCGCTTCCGCCTCGCCCAGCAGCCAGGCGGGCGCATGCGCGCGCCGGGCCCACCCCGCCCCTTCCGGCCCCAGCACGTCGCCCCAAAGAAGCACCTGCAGGTCTCTTTAAAAGGCGTTTATTGATCATATACAAAATAAAGAAAACCTTATATATCACAAACATACACTATGTACAGCAATAAATACCCGGGGCCAGGCCCAGCGCCGCCCCTCCTGGACAATAACTTAGCAATAAATACTGCGCAGGGCGCGGGTGGGCACCAAGACCGCTGTCCCGCCGAGGCCAGGTCCCTGACCGCCCTACACGGTGTGGGCCCCTGGGCCTCTCCTTGCAGCCAGAACCCCGGCCCTCACTCCAACGGATCTCAGGGTACCCCCTCCAACCTCCCCTGGCTTCAGCCCTCCGCAGGGCAGACAGGGGCTGATCAACTCTGCTTGGACACACCTCTCAGTGCCAGGAGACCAACAGAGCTGGACACAGGGTAGCCCTTGTCCTGTTGCCCTAAGTTGCCAGGAGAAGGCTTTCTGCACCCACTCCCGTTTGGTTAAAGGCTTCAGGGACTAGCGGATGGAGGGATAGAAGGAAGGGCAAGGCTGGGACATGAGGCTGCTAGAGAGGCAGAAAACCCAACTGCTGTCACCAAGTACAGCTCACAGGGACACACTCTTACATTCCACCTCAGACTCAAGCAACACTCAGTATCAATGCTGCTGCTCAAGGGGTGAGGTGGAAATGTATGCAGGTGGCCCAGCAGGTACAGAACATGACCAAGATACACAAGCCAGAGCAGAATAGGCCATGAGAAGCTTGGCCCTGCCTCTGTGTGACACTGATTATGTACTCTGCTCTCTACAACTGCTCCAAAACCAGACAGCCAACTGGAAGGTAAAAACATGCCAAAAAGAATTATTCAGTGGCTTCTGGGGAAAAAATCGTTAATGTGTTGGTTCCTTTCACCAAACCACAGCCTAAAAATGTAAGTCACAAGATCCCAGAGCGGAAATGGTGCATCGGGCTGTGGCTCAGGTTTGCCAGCTGTGGATGGGAGCACTGCCCAAGTGGCTATTCCAGGTAGGGGGCAGTAGGGATACGGCCGGACCACCATCCCAAAGCAGGCTGCAGCTGATCAGAGATGTCAGCCCAGGCACTGCACAAAGAAGCTGCTGCTGACAGAGGTGTGCATACAGACCTGAAGTGTGGACGGAGAGTAGCCTGCAGGAAGGCCTGTTGAGCAGAAAGCCTAGTATACAACACAGAGCAGTCATGGAGCGCCTCTACTGAGGGAAGCACCATCCTGGAGCAGCAGCCAGGGACCACAGGGAGAGCTCTCTGGGGCCACTGATTTTGGCAAGAGCTGACCTGTTCACTTTTTCCCCCTCCCCTCTGAAATCTGAGCATCCACATTAGGATAAAGGAGGAAGGGGGCAAAGTCAAGATAGGAGGGAAGACACACATTATGGTTTACTAGGCGGACAAGTCTGGGAAACCTGGCCTCAGCCAAAACCCTCAATTCACTGTGTCAGAAAAGCTGATAAAAAAGAACACAATACCCTCACAGCAAGAAAACATAATCAACAAGGATCAGAAAGACAGCCAATAGTCACATGTGGACACAGGATTTACTGTCAAGAAATCAAGGTGAAGGGAAAGAGGTGATGCGGCCCTAGTTTGACGGACCCAAGGAACAGTTGCTCCAAATCCAAAAACCACAGAAGGAAGCACAGCTTCACCAACCTCAGAGCTACTTCTGTACACCAAACCAAGACAGCAACTTCTGCTCAGCACTGGCCCAACCTCCTCCTCACGGCACCCACCACATGCTCTCTAGCTCTACACCTGGAGAGCATTGTTCATCACCTGGGGGTGATGACCCCACCCCAGCCAGGACCAGACGACATAGAGGGCCTGCCCCTACCCCTCTGTTAGGGACAAACTTGATCCATTCCAACTCTGCTGCTGTAGCCAACAGCAGCAGCTTGCTTCTGGCTCCCATTTAGACAGCCAGACTGAAGGAAGGCATGAAGTCATCAGGTGACTCAGTCAAGTCAGAATTCCCATTTTGTAGCAGCCACAGGTAACAACAGGTCTGTCTGAGCACCCTAAACTGAAGAAGCCCCTCAAGACTGGAGCTGGCAGATGCCCAGCTCCCACCCCATAGCACACCAGATCGAATTCTGGGTGAAAATCCTGTTGTCCATGAAGTGAAAGTCTTTCCTCTCACCAGCCCACATTCCTGTGCTTTTCAGGAATCCAGGGCCCCCCCAAAGAGGACACCAGCAACCCTGTCAAGAGGCCAAAGCCCACATGCCCAGAGATGGGGCTATACCTCTTTTGGGGGCGGAGGACATAGGCACCAGTTCTGGTCACATCCCATGAGGAGCTTCCTGAACCAAGCCCAGAATTTTGGCAGCCTCTGCCAGGTAGCTGGAACAGGGAAGTGGGCTGGGACCCCACAGAGAAGCACCTCCAAGTTAAGCAGCGATCCCTGGAAGACACAGATTCCCAAAGAGAGGAGGAGGAAGGGCGTGGAGCCAAGAGCTGCCAGCAGAGACCAGCAGGGAAGGGACAGAGCCAGCTTTGGAGTCCAAGCCCTTGTCTGGAATTGGTGGAGGTTGCCTAGGCCTCACAGTGAAGCAGAGAAGGGGCTCCCCAGGTGGGGCCCCTGTCCATTCTGCGCAGGAAGCAGCACACCACAGCATGGAAACAGCTAAGGGGTAAGTGAGCAGTAGGATTTGCAACCTACTAGGGTGGGTTCCTTGAGTGTCCCACCCCATGTGTGGTCTATAGGAATAAAGCCAAAGCCAGGAGGAAGACAGCCAGGAACAGCTTAGCCACGGCCCGGTGGGAACCCACAGTGACTCCTTGGTCCCTGCAATACCACCACCCAGGCAGGGCCAGGGGTGGTGAATGTGGAAGCAGCACTGAGGCTCTGGATGGCCCCTCAAACCTATACAGCCAGTGGGTCAGCCCAAGCCACAGACCCACCGATGAAGCCAAGGCTCAGCACAGGTGGGAGTGGCAGAGCCCCCTGGCAGACTACCTGGGCAAGGGGCAGGCTCTGAAAGCAGAAAAGGCTGGGCTGGCAGGCAGACACCCTCACTCCAGTGGAGGAGGCGCCATCAGGGACCCTGGCTCGGCTGAGGTCCAACAAGCCAGCAGAAGCAAAAACACAACCAAACCCAAAAAACAAACACGGGAAAATACACAAAAAGGGACGGCCACAGGTCAAAGGTCACCAGAAGCACCAGCACTTTACGGGCTGCACAAAACCTCACCAGGCACGGACAACACCACGGCACCGGCAAGAGACGGAAGCAGGAAGGGCAAAGGAGTAGTAAGTCACTTTCGGTACAATTGCAAAAGAGATATCAAAGAGGACGGCCTCTGGTGGGCGCGCGGCTTGGCTTTTTTTTTTTTTTTTAAACTAAGTTTTATAAATAATGTCTGATAACTCTGTGTATATAAAAACTAAATTCCAACAGCCACAAAGAGTTGTCCGTAAGTTTACAAGAAGGGATTTTTTTTGTTTTTGTTTTTTGGGTGTTTTTTTTTTTTTTTTTTAAACTAGCAAAGTTACTATTATACTTTCTTCCCTTTTCCATTTATATGGTCAAATGTTCTTTTTACTTGCTTTTTTTTAAAAGACAATTTTATAAATACTCTGCAGCTCTTTTTTTTCTCTTTAGCTCTTAAACATATAATTTAATAACTTCGTAAAAGGAACTTCTCTTTTAAATAAAGGGCTATATAACCACACAAATAGGTCATGTAAACAGTGACACGGGACCCATTGCAGGACACACTGACATACCTTCCACGCACGCTCACGGCCAGTGATTTAGTCTTGTTCAGTGCACCGTGTCAGGTTTGAGCGCCACAGCCCCTGCCCCAGCACCCACAGTGCCCAGGCAGGTGACCTACCTGTCCAGGGCCCTCAAGGACACCCCACTCTTCAGAGCAGAGCCCCTCTCTTCCTTCTGGGCTTAGCGAGCTGCCTGCCAGGTCTGAAGAGAGAGAACCCCTCCAGTCCCATTTAAGCCCGGCAGCCTGTGGGCTGTGGGCTGTGGGCACCGAGGAGGGGAGGGCAGACCTTGAGGCCCAGTTTGCTCACTGGCTTTCCCATTCTCTTGTCCATTCCCACAGTGCCCACTCTAGACTCCTAGCCTGCATGGCCTAGGTACAAAGAGGGTTAGGAGCAACCCAACATCACCACCGAACTGACCAATCCCAGCGTACAAACACACGCACTGAGACAAGATGAGATCAAAGGGGCTCAGCCCAGTGCCCCTGGGGAACAGGTTGTGCTTTGCAGGGAAGGGAAAAGAAGGGAGAAGGGGAAGAGGAAGGAGAGGGAAAAGGAGGAGGAAGTGGGACAGGGCTGCTGACTTCGCCATGCGCCTAGTGGCCCCTCGAAGACCTGCCCGGCAATCCCACATGTCCCTATGACCGGGCGTCCGTCTTGGACTTTACTATTGTGATGACACTGGTGGCGGCCACCTTGCCAGGGACCAGGGGCCCCAGGCCGGCGGCAAGGGGGCCCCGAGCTGGGGCCACAGGGCTGCGAGCCACGGTCCTGGCGAAGTTCTGCAGGGCCTCATACTTGGAGCGCAGGGCGTCGAGCTCCAGCTTCATGCTGGCATTCTCAGAGGCCAGCTTCTCTACCTCCTGCTGCAGCTCGGCTTTCTGCTTCTCCAGCTCCTCCTTCTGTGTTACCCGCTTCACGCGGCAGCTGGCCGCGTAGCCCCGGTTCTTGAGTGTGCGACGGCGCTGCTTCAGCTGAATGATCTCCTCCTTGGACAGGCCCCGCAGGTGCTGGTTCAGCTCACGAACCGACATGGTCACCAGCTCCTCATCCGTCAGGCTGGTGCCATTCTCACCTGGCTCCCGCTTCACCTACAGTAGCATAGCGCAGGGTGGCAGCTGAGCAGGGCGCTCGCTCCACGCTGCCCAACCACAGCCTCCCCTGTTCTGCCCACTCACCTTCAAGGCCTTGCTTCCTTTATTAGGGGTCGTCATAACCCGGGGCACAGTGAGCAGCCACTCTGCAAGACATAGGGCAGGGGTCAGGACCCTGCAGACCACGCCATCCCTGCCCTGCCCTCCCCAGTTCACACAAGTTTCACATAACACATCCTTCCAGGGAGCCTGCCACCCAGCCCCCAGAGCCCTGCCCCTAATATGCCCATTCCCCTGGTACCTTTGGGCTTTTCTCTCCTGAGTTGGGCTGCTCCTGACCACCCTGCCCCTAGAGAACCAGGTCAGGGAGATCTGATGGGGGAAGGGGAACTGAAGGCTATGAGGGAGCCAGGGGCAAGACAAAGGGGCAGGGGGAGAGATTAGAAGGAATAATCTGCGGGAGGGGCAAGCCTAGAAGGAAGCGGAGCTTTAAAAATAACCCCAGTGCTGCCCCAGAGCTCACTGTGCCTGGCGAGTCATGCTGACTCAGCATACCCCTCCCTCCAAGCCCAGCCTGCTCTTGAGGCCAGCCAACAGCCAGCACCCCAGGAGACCTGCTGCTGGTGCCAACAGCAGGTGAGGGCCAGCCAGCGACTGTGCTGTGTATCCTAGGGTCCCACCTCCTACTGCTGTCTTCTCTAAGTCCTCGGGTTCCTGCTCCCTCCAGGGCCCAGGGGGTTGTCCCTTGGGGATTCAGGCCTCAATCTCCCAAAGATGTCTGAGGTCACGGGTGGGCCTCCCAGCTATGCTGTGTTTTCAGGGCTGGTCAGAGATTCCCACCACTTTCCAGTTAGCAGGCTATCCAGCTAGAAGAGACTCCAGACCCCACCAGTCCTCCCTGTCCACCTCCTTTAATGATGGAGTAACCATCCTGTGGCTTTAAGTTGCAGCATCCTATGCCCTGCCTCACCCCCACCAGGGTGTTTCACAAAGTTCCCCAGTTACCCGCACTGGGGGCCTGCTCAGTTGGAAGAAGGCAGGAGTCAGCCTGACTGCTCTCTGACTCCTTGTCTGGGGTCCATGCCACAGGGCCGCGGAACGAAAGCACAAGGGTCAACTCCCATACACTCACCTGACTCTTTGGCACCCCAACCTCACTTTCTATTTTCTGAAGCCCTGCCAGAACATTTTTGTGCACCTAGTCCAGGGAATCTCCACCCGGCTCAGCCTCCACCAGACCCTTGGGCAAAGACCACCCCAGTGTACTACCCACTCCTTTCCAGGTTAGATACAGGAGGTAACTGGAGAGCAGGGCCAAGCACTTCAGATAACTGTGGGGAAGGGGGGCTGAGGGGACTTCTCACCCTCACCCTCATCAGGGGAGATAGAGTGTGGCTGGGCAAGTAGGGATATATGTTCCCACTAGAGACCCTACATTACCTAGCCTTGCACCCAGAGACCAGGTTGCTTGCAGAATAGGCTGGAGAAGCCAAAGACACCTCCCCACACCAGGCCACCAAGAGCATCGGAGAGGCAAGAATTCTTCCAGATCAAAAGGCAGAAGATCAGAGTTATAGGTCCTCAGGGGATCTGCCTGTCCCACATGCTGGCCCCAAGCCCACTCCAGGAGCCAGGTCCGCAGAGCAGAGCCTACAGGAGCTCTCCCACCTTGAGCACAGACAGGATGCAGGGATGCTGCCCTGGCACAGGCTCTTCTCACCCCCGTCCTTCCCTACCCCAACTGCTAAGCACAACGACAATGGTGACTTCCTGAGGAGACCACATAGAAAAGTGCCGAGTGTGGCAGCTGGGAGCCAAAAAGTGCCTCCTCAACAGATTTCACCCTCTGCAGAAGGCCTGAACTCAGCACAAGTACAGCCAATCGTCTCCTAATCAAAGGTGTGTGTGTGCATGTGTGTATGCATGTGTGCATGGTGGGGGAAGGGCAGGTCTCAGCAAGCTGGTGCTTCCAGCTGCCTGCCTGGAGAAACACTGAGCCAGAGGAGGGGGATCCCAAGGCTGGATGATCAAGGGGTGCCAAAGAGTCAGGTGAGTGTGTGGGAGTTGACCCTTGCGCTTTGGTTCCCTGGCCCTGCGGCACTGACCCCATCTCAGCCCTCCTTCGGGTCTTGAAGCCCGGTGAAGGGGCCCAGGCATCCTTCACCTTTCGCTTACCTATAGGCCAACCCTGCCTCATGGAGGAGGCACTGTTGGTCACACCCAAAGACTTCCAAGAGACTCTGGGCCAACCACTCAAGGCTGAGAGCCAAGAAAGGAAAAGCAAGTGGCAAGACAGCTGTCCTTGCTCCTTCATCCTGGCCTGCAAACCCTAATTACCAAAATTCCTAGGCAGGAGTTTGGATGCTCTGGCACCCGAAACTCCAGACCCATCCTCTCCAGACAATCACCTTTTGAAAACAATCGAAAGTTTAGTTTCCACTGAAACAAATGACTGAGAAGACTTAAACACACACACACTCTCTGGAACTCTGAATTTTCCTGGGACAAAATAATTCTACACCAAGGATGAGCTAAAGTGTGAAGACACCTGGCCCCTACAAGCCCCAGGGCTCAGTAAGTAAGAGTCTAAGTCAGAGTACTGCATTTGGGTTGGGAGCATCCCTGAGTGCAACCACAATGTCAGCCTAACCCAGCCATGAACCCTGAGCAAAAGAAGCAGTACAGAAGAGTAAGTGCCTATTTTTCTGCTCCAGCCCTCCAAAGCCACACCACTCTCAGGCTGTTCTGAACCCCCAGCTACTAGGCTACACACCCATCAGGGCACAGTCTTCGCTAACTTTACACAACACTGAAACCCCACACTCACGTGGGCAAACTTTAGGGGGACTGGAACTGCATTCTTCTATACCATGCCGGTAACCCAAGGTTCCCACCTGCTGTCTAGGTCCCCCACTTCCTCTCATTCGCAATTTCCTGGTAAAACTGTCCCTGCTTCCTCTGTGTCACACACCCCTTTTTCTCCCACTGCCTCCCTGTCTTCTCCATCAGGGGAGGCCCAGCCTGGCCGGCCAGACCAGTCACAGGGGCCCTACCAGTCGCAGAGAATGCCAGCTTCCCAGCCGGGCAAGCTCAACCCACCTAAGCTCCTCCCATCTTCTCACTCAGAAAACTGTTTCCCAGTTTGGGGAACTGCCCCAGCCGTGGGATCAGGGCCAGCTGCCCGGGAACTGCCTGAGAGGGATGCGCAGGCCCGGGCTTCACCTTCCACCCCGGGAGAAAACCTGCAGCGTGACACCCACCCCCTCCTCGCAGCTCTGCAAAACTTGAACAGGGCCCGACCCTCGCCGCCCCACACCTGGCCCTCCTTCCGCCACCGCGGCCCGGCCCCGGCCCCCGCCCCCGCCGAGCGTCAGCGGGAGCACCGAGTGACCTCATGCTGATGACTCAGCACGTCTCCGCTGGGCTCGCACGCGCGTGGCGGGCCGAAGCCGCGCAGCGGGGTCTCCCCGCCGCCGCCGCCGCCCCTGCCGACCCGCGGGGACCCAGCGCGCGGAGACGCGACAGACACCTGATGAGTCAGCAGCTCGGCCCGGCGAGACCGCCCGCGGACCCCGCGCCCGCCCGGCCCCGCCCTTCCCTCGCGCCCCCCGCGGGGCGCCGGTGTCGGTCCGCCGCGCGCCACCCGCTCTCGGCCTCGCCGTCTCCGGGCCCACCGCACCCGGCGGCGGTGACCAGGCTCTGGGTCCTGGCCGGTGGGCAAATCGAGGCACGGGCCGCGACAGGGCGCGAAGCACACCCGCGGCCGGGTCCCGCCGCCCCGCTCGCGCTGCCCCGCCGCCCCGGCCCCGGCCCCGCGCACTCACCACACTGCGGGCCCGGGCGGGCCGGGGCGGGGCCGCGCGGGGCTGGGCCGGCGCGAGGGGTCCGGGCCGGGGCTGGGGGTGCTGGCCGCCTGCGCGGGCCGAGCCGAGCGCACTGGGAAGGCCGGGCCGGACCGGGCTCGGGATCCGCCGCCGCCGCCGCCGCCGCCGCTCCTCAGACGTCACATGATGTTTGGTCACGTGGGCTCCATTCATGAAGCGGCGACGCGGCCGGCCTCAGCTTAAAGGGGAAGGCGCGGCGGCGGCGAGTCGACGGGCGGGCGTGCTTCACTGCGCCTGCGCGCCCGGGCGCCGTAGCCCCTAGCAACACGCGCCGCGCTCCCGACCCCTCTCCCCGGTCGGCTCTCGCGGGACCAGGCCCCGGCGCGCGCCCGGCCGGCCACGCCCCTGCCGCGGTGCCGCCCAGGGTAGCCGGAGTCAGCCGGGCGCCGGGAGGGAACGGGGTGAAGGTGCGGCGCCAGTCTCAACTTGTGGGCGTAGCCCACCGGGGCCGCGCCTCCAGATGTAGGCGCGGACCCGGGCTCTAGGTCTGACGGAGAGGACCTTCGTGTTTCAAGTTCTTGCACCGCTATGCCGTTGGTTACCCCACGTAGCCGCTAGGCCTGCTTGGTCCCCGATCGCGCAGCAGGCCGGAGGGCGCGCGCTCTTCAGGGGCAGAGCCGAAACCCCAGCCTCAGTCCCTGGAACTGTGCAGTGTGCACAAGGCCCCGGAGAACATTCACCAGTGGCCCTAATTCCCAAGACTCCACGCTACAGATGACGCCTGGGGAGGGGGCTCCCAAGCGGTGTCTTGTCGCATAGTAAGTGTGCAGTTAAACAAAGAGTTGATGTGGTCCAGGTGTGGCACGTGCCTATACTCCCAGCTTACTCTGGAGGCTGAGGCAGGAGTTCAAAACCACCCTGGGAGGCTTCACAAGACTCCCCCTTAAAAAATGAAAGGAAAAGAGTTAATGTCGTCAGTTGCCCTTTTTCTCTCCCATTTCTTTCTCGCCTGCACTTTCTGTAAGGAAACACCACTGCTCTTGAAAACTCCCAGCAGAGGAAGTTACAAAGGGCAACATGGAAATGGGAGGCATGCAATTGTTCCTTTCAACCTCTGAACTTTCTACTCAGTCCTCCTCTCTTATCTGGAGTAAAGCCAAGAAATATGACCCATCCTGCCAGGTGGGCAAGAAGGTGAAACGACAGAAGAAAGAGCCACTGAATGAAGAGTGAAGGTACCACAGAGGCCAACCCAGGACCCCCAAAGCTCTCCGTCCTGCAGGCCTCCAGAACTTTCCACTATCTCTGGGTAGAGCTCCGGGTGTTGTCTTATTGTTTTGTTTTATTTGGGGTACTAGGGATGAATCCAGGGAAACACAACCACTGAACCACATCCCCAGCCCTTTTTATTTTCTCATTACTTAGGGCCTCATTGAGTTGTGAGGCTGGCTTTGAACTTGGCAATCCTCCTGCCTCAACTTGCTGGGATTACAGGCACATGCCACTGACCAGCTTGGTTGGCTCTTATCATCAGGAGCTCCCTAGAGGAGTGGGTTGGAACCTTTATCTTTGACCCCTGCACTGTGCATGGCTGGAGTCTCACAAAATATAGGGATTTAATTTGCTTGTTGTATGACTCCTAAAACCCTTGATGTGTTCTCTGTTTTCTTTTCCAATGAAATGGCATTTCATTATGTTGCTCAAACCAGCCTTGAACTCCTGGACTCAAGACTACCTGGGATTCCAGGCACGAGGCCCCACACAGAAAGCCCTCAACTTTTTTTTTTTTTGTACTGGAGATTGAAGCCAGGGTGCTTTACCATTGAGCTACATCCTCAGCCACTTTTATTTTTTATTTTGAGACAGAGTCTTGCAAAATTGCTGAGGGTCTCTGTAAGTTGCCCAGGCTGACCTCAAATTTGCATTCCTCCTGCCTCAGCCTTCCAAATCACTGGGATTACAGGTATGCCCCAAGGCACCTAGCCAGGCACTCCACTGCTATTGTTCAAAACCAACAATGGCCAGGCATGCATGCATGTAATGCCAGCAACTTGGGAGGCTGAGGCAAAAAGAAGGTGAAATGACAGAAGAAAGAGCCACTGAATGGAGAGTGAAGGTACCACAGAGGCCAACCCAGCAACTTAGTGAGGCCCTAAACAACTTAGTGAGACCTTGTCTCAAAATATGAAACTTTAGGGACTGGGGTTTTGGCTCAGTGGTACAGCGCTCACCTAGCACATGCACAGCCTTTTAGCACCACATAAAAGTAATTAAATAAAGGTATTGTGTCCAACTGCAACAAAAATAAATAAATATTTTTAAAAATAAGAAATTTTAGGGGCTGGGGATGTGGTTCAGTGGTTGAGTGCCCCGGAGTTCAATCCCTGATACCAAAAAAAGAAAGAAAGAAAGAAAGAAAGAATAAAACAAAATTTTTAAAAGGGCTAGGGATGGATTGGAGTTGTAGCTCAGTGGTAGAGCACTCGCCTCGCACATGTGAGGCACTGGTTTTGATCCTCAGCACCACATAAAAATAAATAAATAAAATAAAGGCATACTGTCCATCTACAACTAAAATGTTTGGAAAAAAAAAAAAAGAGGGGTTAGTTGTGGCTCAGAGGTGCAGGGCTCGTCTAGCATGTGCGAGGCCCTGGGTTCAATCCTCAGCACCACATAAGAATAAAGTAAAGGTATTGTGTCCAACTACAACTAAAATAAAAATATTGAAAAAAAAAGAAAAAGAAAAGACAGAAAGGCTAGAGATGTGGCTAGGTGGCTAAGCATCCTTGAGTTCAATCCCTGGTTCCAAAAACAAAAACAAAGGATGAGGGGAATGGCTACGTGGCGCCCCCTTGAGCCAGCACCCAGGATGAGGATGATAAAGGAAGAGATGCGAAGCCCAAGGGTGCAAGCACCTTAGGGGCTGATCTTTGTGGAACCTCTGCTGGGGGCAATGCTCAGGCCTGACTCCCTGGTCTGGCTCTCTCCACACCTCCAGCACCTTGTTTCCCGCCATAGTTGAATACTACCATCTGCAGGAAACTCTGACAGCCTCCGGCCCCCACAGCCCCTTCTCAGGCTAGTCTGCATCCTCCATGGGCTGACCTTAGCACTCCACTGCCCGCTCCTGAGAGCAGCAGGCCCCAGCCTGATTGCCACTGGGAGGCTGAGGGTACATGGGACATGGCTGGAATCCAAACCCAGACAGGGGTTATTCCTGCTTTCTCTCTGTGCAGGTGGACATCCTCCTTCTCTGCCTGCAGGGGTTTCTGACCTAGTTGTTCTGAAGCCTGACCTGCACAGGGACCACAGACAGGGGTTGGCCTGGAACAGGAAAGAACTGTCAGAGGTGAACAGGGCAAAGGCCCAGCCAAACAGGCTGGTGTCAAGGGCCATTCCAGCTAGGAAACAGGAGAAGCTGGACCAAGCCGAAGGAGCTGGCTCTCCTACTGCGTCCTCCAGCTGTTGTGCCCAGGGCAGTGTGGCTCACTCCAAGCTGTACCCCAAGACTGGGAGGGATCAGCTCTGCCAGCATCAGGGACCGAGAGGGTTCCCCATCCCTGGAACCCTCTTCATCAGCTTGCTCTGGATCTGTGAGAAGGTGTGTCCCTGCCTGGCTTTGCTAGGCTCACCCTCTTGCTGGCTCCAGATAGACATGTCCCCACAGCTTGCCCCACACCCTCTTTCAGGCTTGGTCTGGCTCCAACCCAATCCCAACCAGGAGCCTCACTGGGAAGCCTCACAAGCCTGCCTGCTGAAATCTGGCACCTTCTCTCTATATAATTTTTAATTGATTAATTTTATTTATTTATTGTTTGTTTGTTTGTGTGCTGGAGATTGAACCAGGGCTTCATGTGTGCTAGACAAGCACTGCTACGTCCAAGGCCCTTATAATTATTTTTTCCTTCCTTTTATTTGTTTATTTTTTTATATTTATTTTTTAGTTTTCGGCGGACACAACATCTTTGTTTGTATGTGGTGCTGAGGATCGAACCCAGGCCGCACAAATGCCAGGCGAGCGCGGTACCGCTTGAGCCACATCCCCAGCCCCCTTCCTTTTAAAAAAAAAAAAAAAAAATATATATATATATATATATATATATATATATATATATATATATTATTCTTTTTAAGACAAGATCTAAATATCTAAGTTGCCCAGGCTGACCTTGAACTTGCATCCCTCCCGTCTCAGCCTCCTGAGGTGCTGGATCATAGGTATGCACCACTGTGGAGCTCTGTCCCAGTCATGTTCTGAATAAGCCGGTACCAATACCTCCTTGCAGAGCCTGTCTGGACCCAGGCCTTGCCTTCTTCGGGACCGTGCCTCACCCGAAGCACCTGGCTGGCCTGCTGGCTTCCCTCATGCCCAGACCAGGTGCACTGTGCCAAGCACTCATCTTTCTGTTGGTCAGTGCCTGACAGGA